TGTCTATGAATGGTGGAGGAGATTGGACAGGTGGGGGTGGGGGTGGTGGAGAGAAAATGGGTGGTGGCGGTGATTGAACTGGTGGGGGTGGTGATGGAACTGGTGGTGGGGGAGAGAAAACGGGTGGTGGCGGTGATTGAACTGGTGGGGGAGGTGATTGAACTGGTGGTGGTGGTGGTGGTGGAGAGTGAACGGGTGGTGGTGGTGATTGAACCGGAGGGGGAGGTGATTGAGGTGGTGGTGGTGGTGGTGGTGGTGGTGGTGGTGGTGGTGATTGAACTGGTGGAGGAGGCGATTGAACTGGTGGTGGTGGAGACTGATTTGGAGGTGGAGGGGGAGAAGGCGTAGGTAGTACTGGTGTTGGAGATGGAGAAGGCTTTGGTGGTGGGACTGGCTTTGGCTTTCGCTTTCGCTTTGGCTTCGGGTTTGGTCGTCGTGGTGGTTTTCTCCGTTGAGACTCTTCATCACTGTCGAAGCTCGGTTTCTTACACCCCACAGTTTCGCAATCTATCGGCAGATTCACCACTGACGAACACTTCTTCTCACTTTTCTGATTCGGTTTATTCGGCAAACAGTTCTTTTTAACATTTATAACAATCTCAGCCCTCATCGGATTTTCACATTTCTGTTCCACACCATCAAAATAATTATCAGCGAACGAAAAGTTCACCATTTTTGGCAAACTGCAAACGCTGTCAACCACCTTCCCTATCAACTTATTTTGCCCAATGTCGATTCTCTCAACATGCTTCAATCTTTCAAGACCTTTAGGAAGTGTCCCTATAAAGTCGTTATTGCTCAAATCTAAGACCGTAATGTTCTCAAGCATCCCTAATTCCTCCGGCACACACCCAGAAAGCTTGTTATTGGAGAAAATGATCTCCTCTAAGCCCGTCATCCGTCCAATGCTCTTAGGAAGACAACCTTTAAAGCCATTGTTTGCAAACACAATCACAGAAGCGGGTGAATTACCAATGTTTTCAGGGATAGAAGATGAGAATTTGTTATTATTCAAGAAGATAGCATCAAGATCCTTATCGAATAGTTGGGGAGGCAACTGTCCTTCAAAATCATTGAATCTAAGATCAAGATACTTCAATTTAGGCAATTCTAGGACAACGCTAGGAAAAGGACCTACAAATCTGTTATTACTTATATCTAGCTCGTGTAGAATCGTGAGCTTGGAGAAACTCGTCGGGATGATCCCACAAAATCTATTCGAATTTATATGGAACACGCTAAGGTCTGTTAATAGGCCAATATGAGGAACCAAATGGCCGGCGATGTCACCATGGTTAAGATCAATGCCAGCAACGGTGACCGAATTTGGATCATCGGGCGCATTTTCGCAAAATACACCGTTGTAAGAACATACGTCTACGCCTTCCCAGTTGCTGATCATATTATCTGGATCCGAGTATATGACCTTTTTCCATTCTTGGAAGACACCATAAGCTTTCTTAAGTCTAGGATTGGCAAAACTCAAGCGGGCATCGATCTCAATTTCCAAATCATCGGATTGAGGATCAGAATCTTTCAAAGAGCCTAGGTGACGACGGGTGATCGCCGCCGCGAAGGCTTTGTTTAATGAAAGAGATAATGAGGGGAAACAGAAGATGGAAATAGAAAGGAAAAAAAGGCAGCATAAGGCTTTCATATTGAAAGGTTTTGCCTATACCTTGGATTGGCTAAAGGTTGCTTATAGGAAAGGAAGAATGGAATCTATCTTTAGCAACAAATCCTCTCCATGTACCACTAAATTTAAATTCTCCAAACACAATGCGAGTTTATCTCCAGAGCTATTGCTTGATTCTCGGCAGATTTTATCAAAGCAAATACCAGGACATATGTATTTCTATGGCTGAAAACAAACAACTTGGACTTGTGTATTTCTATGGCTGGCTACCAGATGATGAAATAATTAACCAAAAACGTTAACATTAACACTTTTACACCCACTTCTACGGATAAAATTCACTTGTCGCCATGCTTGTTCATCATATAAGTTAAACAAATGGACGCGACTTTTATTCCACTTTTAGAGGCGTAATCGTTGCTAGTGCCACATGTTAAGTCTACTGGCTACAACTTCTTTTTGTTCACAAATTGCTGTTAGATCATTAGAAACAAATACTGAATTGTTGATGAGATTTAACTAAAAAATAATGTATCTCAACTTTTTACTACTGCAACATATATTAGATCGAATTAGGCTTTCCAGTAGCTGTAGTATGATCTGCTTCGAGCATTCAACAACATACTATGATCAACTAACGAAAAAAAAACCCTAACTAATGGTAAATTGCACAGAGGATAGTTAGACATACCTTCCGAATCCCGTTGATTTTTCAAGGACTGATTACTTAAATAAACACGATTCGATTCGATTCGATTCGATTCAAAACCTGAAAGTTCGAATCTAGCATTGCCGTTTCGATATTCAAAAATCAAAACAATCACGACATCGCATCATTTCTGAAACTAATCACGAGTGTTTTTTGATATTCAGATTTGCTATTTCTTCCGAGAATCATATAGTAAGCAGTGACTACCTATGAGTTCAGTTCCAGGTTTTCAGAAAACGGATGATCTGTGACGACTATATAAAACCTGCATGTACTGACGAACAACACGTCATTATTGAAGCTAAACTTCCACCATCAAAGAACAAATGGATCACCGAATTGAAGAGTCCGAGTAGGGAAAACAGAGTTACCATTAGAAAGCATTGATTTCATTATCATCGTTGCTAAATGCTGCCATAGTTTCTTCTATTCAGTGAGGAGAGCAACTCCAATCGAACAGTTTTTTTTTTAGTGTACATGACCCACATATTTGGTGTTTTTGTAAAAAAGTTTTGGTGCTGAGATTGGAATTGCTCTGAGGAGGATAGGGAATAAAGGTCATAAAAACTCTATTTTTTAATATTTTAAAGAATTTGTAGATATATTGAACGACCAAAAAGGTGGGACCCACTTACCATCCCATCAATTCATATTAAATTTTTTTTGGGATTGTTTATAAAAGTTGTTTTTTAATTTATTTTATTTTAAAATTAATAATAAGTTGTTTTTTGGTGTTTGAATGAGAAAAAAATTGTTTATGTGTTAAACTAGTAATAAGCTGTTTTTGATAAGTTAATCTTTTCTGACTTATGAAAAACTATTTATTACCAGTTTACAATTTTAACCATGTTTTATTTAACTCCGATTTGATACCACAT